CATCCCAGTGGCACTCACGTTGATCAGGGCCATGATCCAGAAGGCGTAGGACACGCGGGTTCCTGCTCCGTCCGGCGGGGACAGCCCAGGGAGCGTCTGGTTGGCCCAAGGCCAGGCCCCCGCGTGGTGCTGGCCCAGGACCCTGGAGGCGTGGAAGAGGCGACGGCCGGAGGTGACGTTGACCGTGCTATTGGCCGGCAAGCAGCTGTTCTCCGACAGGAAGGGGTCGGCGATCAGGGGGCTCAGCAGAGCCCCAAAGCCCACAAAGAAATGGAGAACCTGGGGAAGGAGGAGAGGTAGCGTGGGGGGTGATGGCTCAGGCCTCATACCCCACCCGCGTCTGTGTCCCATCTGGGAGCCCCTGCCTGGCACAGGTGGGAACGAGGGAGTGGGAGGCAGGAGAGGGAGTGAGCTCCCCAGCCACCCGCATGTCCTGGGACGATGATGACAGTGGCTGCTCTCCCTCCTTCCCCAAATCTTAACCCCCAGTGCGGACTGTTCCCATGTTAGCACCCACCAAAGGGAGGAGGGCTAGTGAAGGGAAGGGCTGGGCTGGAGTCCCGGTAACTGGAGGACGAGGAAACAGAAATGCAGAGGGGGGGGAGGAGAGAGGAGGAAGACAGCCCCCCTGTCACGCCACTTCCCAGTGACAACAAACTCTCTGCTTAGCGCTCAGACTCCTGTGAGCGCCCTGCAGGCAGGGCCAGTGCAACGCCCAGAGACACCGAACTGTGCCCCTGGTGCTGTTCCTGCATCAGCACCCTGAGGCCCGGGCAGAGGGGCTGGGAGAGACGGACAGAGGGACAGGCCCCTCCCCACCCTCAGCTCGTGCCCGCGTGGACTCACCTGGAGGAAGATGGCCGAGTCCTTCTGGTAGATCCTCACCAGCTGCATGTTGGCCACAGTGTCAATGCAGCCCATGGCCAGGCCCGCCAGCGCCATGACGGAGGCCAGCACCTTCACGTTGCGGCAGAAGGGGATGACGGCGAACACCAGGGAGATGGTCAGAGAGGAGGTGAAGAGGGCCCACAGCGACTGCGCCAGGCTGCGGTCAGGGAGGGGCGCGGTCAGTGGAGGGGCCTGGAGCCTGCGGGGCCGGCCCCCCACACACTGGCGGAAGGGGACGGACGCTGGGAAGAGGCTCTGTCACTTACTGGCTCTGGGCTGCGGGCAAGATGTTTAACAAGCCCAAGTCTGAGAGCAGCCCCCTCAGGGGCCATGTTGTGAGGACTCGGAGAGTATGTGCGGGTACACGATGGCCCTTAACAGAGTGTAGCTGCTATTATTTTGCTTACAACAAGTTTGTATTGTTTACCTGTAAGTGACTAGAGGGGAGTCTGGTTTGAGGATTTCAAGGGAACTGGGCCACATGCATGAAGCACAGTTCCCTGAGCCCAAGGCCCACAGCGAGGTGTCGGGGCAACTTGGTAACACCCTCGATGGGCAGAGCTGTTGGGCCCTGTATCTGGCCAGTATCTGGATGGGGGGCTCTGTGGGCACCCCCATTGAGAGGCATCCCCCGGAGGAGCCCATCGCAGGCGGGCGGAAGGCCTGTCCCCCGAGAGGGAATGAATGGGTGAGCGAGGGAATGAATGGGGCGCCTAAGGCTCTGTCCAGGTCTTTTCCGTACACCCTGCTTGATAAGCTCTCTCAGAGGAAGGAAGGAAGCCTGGTATTTTCTGGGACCAGCCTGCCAGGATAATGTGGGGAGGAAGGAGACTGGGCAGCAAGAGGTTCTGGAAGGAAAAAGTTGTGGAGAAACTTCTCGACTTATGAAGAGTTGGGGAGCCCCAGCCAGCCTCCGTGGCGGCTGAGCATGGGAAGGGGCAAGGCACGTGGCGAGATGTGTCTGAATAGGCAGCACCGTGAAGAAAAGCGAAACGCGCCCCTCCTCACCCCGACCCTGCCTTCCCCGGAGGGTCCGGCCTCTGCGCCCTGGCGCTCAGCTCTCATCTTGCCCATCTTTGATTAATCCGTTATCAGAGGGCTCGGCTGACCGCAGCAGTCCGTTACTTTCTCTTTCTTGTTTCCAGGCTGATCTGCCCGACAGATTACTGACCATGACCCCTGCCTGTTCCCACTCTGAGCTGTGTGAGGGGCGTGGGAAAGCTCGCTCACCCTGGCCACTGTGAGGAAAACAGGGATCCCCGGCCCTGCCCCGGCCCCGCCAGCCCTGCTCTGTGGGCCCCCAGCGCTGGCAGCCTGGGCGCTCACTGAGCTTCTGCTTCCGGCAACCTGGTGGCTGCGGCTCCCCTACCTCTGATGCCAACACAGGTGATGCCCACGCCTCCTCGGGGCACTAAAAACGCAGGACTTTCCTAACAGCTCTCCCTCCCTTCTTTCCCCTACACACATGTTTAAGGAGCCCAGATGTTGCACCCTCCTGGCTGGCCTGACTTCAGGGACCCCAAGAGGGCCCCTCTCTCCTTCAAATGTCCCCTGTGCTGACCCAGGACACAGTGGTGACAGCCCCACCACTCGGGGAAAGCACAGGTGCCCGGGCACAGGAGCGCTCCTGAAGGGCTGGCACATGGCACCTGCCCCGGACCCGAGTGAGCGCTCAGCACTCAGTCCTGGGCGCGGGAGAAAGTTTACACGACAACGACTAACCCTTCAGGGTCCCAGGCACCTGCACATGACCATGCTGGGAGGTAGACTTTGCAATTGTTGACCCAAAGTAAACTGAGGCTGAGAAAGGCCGAGAAAGCAGCTGACGGAGCCTGGACTTAACCCCAGGTCTTCCATGCCATGCTCCACGTCCTTGGAGGAGGGCACACGTGCATGTGTGTGTGCATGCATGTGTGCGCGTGTGCGTGTGCATATGTGTGCGTGCATGTGCGTGCATGCACGCATGTGCATATGTGTGTGCGTGTGTGTGTGTGTGTGTGTGTGTGGCACGTCCTTGGAGGAGGGCACACGTGCATGTGTGTGCGTGCATGTGTGTGCGTGTGCGTGTGCATATGTGTGCGTGCATGTGTGTGCGTGCGTGTGTGTGTGTGTGTGTGTGTAAGGCTGGAAGGCTGGTGTTGGGCCACAGCCCCAGCCAGGGGGAGGGGTGGCCAGCAGGGAGCATGAGGGAGCCTGCAGCTACGGTCGCTGGAACATGAGCCCCAGGGTCCCTCTGCTGGTGTGATGGGAGCTCCAGAGGCACGGCTGGCCTCGTCGCCCGCCTCCTCCCACCACCCAGGCTTCTGCTGCCACCTGTTCACTGTGGGACCCCGTGCCCAGCACTGTGCTCGGCCCTGAGAAGGTGCTGGATGCGGCTGGTGAAATGGGAGGACGCTCCTCCCACCACCCAGGCATCCGCTGCTGCCGCCTGTTCACTGAGAAGGTGCTGGATGCGGCTGGTGAAATGGGAGGAGGGGGGAAGCCCTGTCTCATCCCAGCGCACAGGATGGCGCGGAGAAAGCACGGGAGACTGGGAGGCTGATGGGGGAGTGAAGGGGGTGGCAGAGGCAGCGGCAGAGATGCCAGGAAGGTGCTGAGTAGGACAGCAGGGGCTCAGGAAAGGGGCTGGGGAAGGGCTGGTGGCAGCGGGCTGCCCCGTTCAGGCCTCTCCTCTCTCCCATCTGGACCCTCTCACCCGGTCATTCTTGAGAAGGACACTTGATGCCCACAGGTAGGAGGGAGGCAGAGAGGCCCAGCAGGAAGGAGAGGCGGGGGAGCCTGCCCGGGAAGTGCCCTCCCTGCCTCTCCTGCCCCTTCTGGGCAGTGGTGGGAGCTTGCCACCCACTGGCTGAGGCGGGCTGAGCCCATATGGGCCTGGGTTCCTGGGCCTGAGGGGATGGAGACTGTTCCCAGCGAACGGGGGCAGCTGTGTGTGGATCCCGGGCTGCCGTCCTCCCCGCTGGTCGGCAGGGCCATTCCTGGGCATTCCCAAACCAGCCTGAACCAATTTCTTCAGAACAGAGAGGGACCCCTGGGGCTCATGTTCCGGGCCAGAGCTGTGCGCCGTTGCTTCCTGAGACCAGGCTCTGCACAATCTCCCTCGCGCTCCCTGCTGGCCACCCCCTCCAGCCACGAAAAGGGAGTCTCAGAGCCAGAAGGAAATAAACGAACTGGCTTGGCCACTTAATGGTTTGGTCAACGGCCCCTTCCAGGACTATGGATAAACTGAAAATTATAAAATAAAAATGTCAAAACAGCTCTGGCAGTGCGGATGCGGCGGGATTTATACTAGCAATTGGAAGACTGGTCCGGCCCACCTTTGCCACTGCCCAGGGGGTGGCCTGGGGCGGGCCACGTACACATAGCCTCTGCGCCTCAGTTTCCTCCATATCACATGGGGATAGTAGGCGCTGCCTCACGAAGCTGCTGGGCAGTCAGTGCTGTTCCAGCCCGTCCTCCTTGGCTCACTCACCGGGATCTTCCCCTGCCCCCTGCCCCATGCTCCCCCTCCCTGCGGACTCCCCCAGAGAGCACTGCCAGGCCCAGAGAAGCATGCCCCACAGGAGGGGCACAGGCTGGTGCTGTGCCCGCTGCAGCACCCTCTGGGTGACTCTGAGGCTGGTCCAGGGACAGCTAGAGTGACAAGGGCCTCGGAGGCCTCCCCTCATATTACAGATCAGGAACCGGGCCCGGACACGGAAGGAGGGCAGAGTAACGCTGAGCCAGGATCCAGTTTCTTGACTCCCAATCCTGGCAGAGGCCAGCGCAGTGTCGTTGGTCTGCCCTCCCCCGGTCCTGGGTTCAGAGGGTAAGTCAGGCCGGTTATGGGAAGAGCCCCAGGCCCAGGAACAGCGTGGACAGTCCAGGGAGCCGGTCCTTAGGGAGCCAGGGAAATGCCCAGGTTACTCATTACCAGCTCCACATGGAAGGTTAAAGAGAACGGGAGGGAGGGCAAGGAGCCAGGTCCCCCCCGCGCGCCCCGCCTGGGGTGCCAACCCTGCCAGTTTGCTGGGTGACCTTGAGCATACTGCTGACCCTGTCAGCCAGGTGCTCTGCCTTACCCAGAGGGCACACGTGACCCATCACCTTGACGTGGCTTTGTGTGGTCAAGGGGCTGCTTGGCTTCAAAACAAGGAGGACTGAAGCAGCGAGGTGTCCGCAGCCTGTCCTGCCTTCCACTCCCCAGGGTTGGGGGGAATGACTGCCCCTTGTCACCACAGACTGAGCGACCCCGGGTTCCAATGAGTGACCCCAGGAGGGGCACTGACATCCTCCTCACATTCTGCCTCGGGGATCCCCTACCCTGGATGATCTCCGGCCTTGAAGACCAGGGCAGAGGGGCGGGACGCAGAACCGAGGAGGGTCAGAGGCATCCTCAACACCCATTCACCCCGAAAAGACGGGCAGCCCCCACGACAAGAGTGGGGGCCTGGGACAAGGGCTCCCCCTGGGAGCTAGGGCAGGCTGGAGACTGCAGCTCCAGCCAGGGCGATGGCTGAGGAAGGGGCCGGGGGAAAAGAGGCCCCCCTCTAGCTGGGTCAGCCCAGCACGGACACCCCAGCTTGTTCAGGGCTCTGTGTGATGGCTGGGGGTACCCGGGGGGAGACCCCAACCTGAGGCCGGCTACACTATGCGCCCGATGATGTGCCCCGGCCCAGTGGGGGCTGGGCTCCCACGGGTGTTCTTACACACTGGCTGGACCTGAAGTTCTGTCGGCCTAGAACGCCTCTCCCCCAGTTCTTTGCACGCGTGGCTCTCATTCAGGTGTCAGCTCCAATGTCACCTCCTCAGAGAGGCCTCCCCTGACCACCCCTGTAACTCTCCCCAACTTCTGCTCCTCTCCATCCTTACTCTGTTTATTTCCTTCGTTCCACTGGAATGACCCTCCAGAACGCAGGCTCAGGAGAGCAGGGACCTTGTCTGTTGTGCTCACCCCCCAAAACGGGGTCTGGCTCAAGAGGTATTTGTTGAACGAGGGATGAGTCTTGTTCGTAAATTTAAAAATTGATCTATAATTTACATACCATCCCATTCAGCTATTCAACATGTACAGTTCAGTGGTTGTTAATATGTTCAGAGCTGTAAGCCCACGACCACAATCTAAGTTCCGAGCGTTTCCATCGGCCCCAAAGGAAAGCCGTGCCCATGTGCAGGCAC